CGGTTTCCGAAAAGGCTTTAGCACCATAGACCACATACATACCCTTCGGCAAATTGTACAGAAGTCCGAGGAGTACAATTTGCCACTATGTCTGGCGTATGTGGACTATGAGAAAGCCTTTGATTCCGTCGAAATTTGGGCGGTGCTGCAGTCGCTTCAGCGATGCCAAGTTGACTGTCGGTATATAGAAGTGTTGAAGTGCTTGTACAGTAGGGCTACGATGGCTATCCAAGTACAGAACCAGGGTACGAAACCTATTCAATTGCAGAGAGGTGTAAGACAGGGTGACGTCATATCCCCGAAACTCTTCACCGCTGCATTGGAAGATGTTTTCAAGTTTCTGGACTGGAAAGGATACGGTATCAACATCAATGGCGAGTACATCACTCACCTTCGATTTGCCGACGATATAGTCCTTATGGCAGAATGGCTGGAGGACCTTAGCACTATGCTCAATGACCTCAATAGTGTTTTCCAACGGATAGATCTTAAGATGAACATGGACAAATCAAAGATCATGTTTAATATCCATGTCACACCTATGCCGGTAGTTGTTGGGAGCACTAAGCTCGAAGTTGTTGACGAGTATGTTTACCTGGGACAAATAGTCCGACTAGGTAAGTCCAACTTCGACCCAGAGGTCAATCGACGGATTCAACTCGGTTGAGCAGCTTTCGGGAAATTACGACACATCTTCTCGTCAGGTATACCTCAAAACTTGAAAACGAGACTGTACACCCGGTGCGTGTTGCCAGTGATGACATACGGAACTGAGACGTGGTCCTTCACTGCTGGCCGGATGAGGAAGCTCAAGGTCGCTCAGCGAGCTATGGAGAGGGCTATGCTCGGAGTTTCTCTGCGTGATAAACTCAGAAATGAGGATATCCGCAGTAGAACCAGAGTGACCGACATAGCCCAACGGATTAGTAAGCTGCAGTGGCAACGGGCCGGCCATATAGCTCGAAGAACCGACAACCGATGGGGAAAAAGGTTCTCGAGTGGCAGCCTCGTACTGGCAGGCGAAGTGTAGGGCGTCCCCCCACTAGATGGAGTGACGACCTGGTAAGATATGCAGGAAGTCGATGGATGCAGGTGGCTCAGGACCGTGCTTTGTGGCATTCTTTGGGGGAGGCCTATGTTCAGCAGTGGACTTGTGAAGGGCTGTAATGATGATGATTGCAATGTAATAACTATTGCAGTAGCAGCAAGTATAATTAATAATAATATAATTGTAACTAAATAAATAAAAATGTTTGTAAATTACTTTCCTTCCAGATAAAAAATATTACAAGCTTCCTTATAAAATAGCAACGAAATTAAATTATTTTGGGCACCACCACCTGATATCCTGATAACTATCCAAAATTATGAAGAAGGCAGTTGCCAACCCTCTTGCTCAACATGACAAACATTGTCAAGTATAAGGAGGCAATCCATGGGGGAAGTTTATGCCCAGTAGTGGACTTTTATGTGCTGTAATGATGATGATGATTCTTGCTTTGTCTGATGTATTACATTCAGTGTGCACACAAAACGACTCGTTATATTACGAACATAAGTTTCAAACACGACAGTTTCTAGGTATTAGGCCAATTAGTTCAGAAACTACAATATCGTGTCCAAAGTTTTACAACAATCAGTAAGTTATGTAAGCCGATTTACACGAACAAGGTATTTAAACAAATACACCATATACACATTAATCCCGAATCAGGATTATGACGATAAAATTTTCGCTCAATATATATTCTATTCTTGCAACATCTGATACCGCGACTAATGCATGGTGAATGATTGTTTGAAAAATAATTCACAGATTTTAACCGAGTTCAAAAAATTTAAATCATTCTTTTGATGATTTACATGGTAAAGCCACGCTGCAGCTATAATGGTTGTGGCACGAATGGGTCAGCTCGATCGGTGTAAGATCATGTTCTCACAGAATACGAGCGTGAAACGTACGTTGTACGTGCTGTACAATGTACATTTTACCCTTAAAAATTATAAGAAATTATATCCTTTATAAATCTGTACAAGCTTATTTTACATTTACCAAAAGTATTACCCCAACGGGCATAATTACAACAGCGAGACTCATAGAATTACCGACTGATTCCTCTTAGTCGCTTACGCGATACTTTATACTGCTAGAACGAAGGGGAGATCGCGGTTCTACCCTCATTTCGTCGTATTTTCTTTTATTTTTTTACCCTCATTCCTAGCAATATTATATTTCACTAGAACAAAAACGTGAGTTTGCTTACCGCTTCTCGCAATACGTTATCTAAATAAATATTGATATTGTTTTTCTTTGCTTTGTTCTGTGGTAATCCACGATTCATTAATTCATCAATTTTCATTTTATAAAGGAAAATCTGTCATTGGCTTTATTTGTATATAAAACCTGAGAATGTATTAATTATGTTGTCGCTGTTGGTTTTATAAATCAATGAATAAATGATAATAAAATAATAATATAATATACACCGTACAATGTAAATCATTGTTTGTTTTGTACTTCATTATACAATTTAATTAAAAATGTACTAACCGTAGTTATCGTAATTTCTATGCAATTACAAAAATATATCCTATTTGTTTTGTCTGACCATATTTAACTCAATTGTATACTGGCAACATGGAATTTTGGTAAATAGGAAGTATTCGCAGTTGATCCGGGATTCATTCATTACAACCTATTGATTACCTCATAAGGGAGGGAAGCGGGGGCGGAGGTAATATTTGATTTTCTCAGAGAATATGCCATTTGTTTCTCGTAATGGTATTCTCATCTGCATTGCTGTTGATTGATGGATGAGTCTCACAGATGGTCCAAAATCATTCGTAGAAGAAGACGCATTCATTGAAAGAATCACCATCATCATTACAGTTCAGCAGTGGACTATAAAGATTGATGACGATGATGTGTGCTTCTAAATTAAACAGATTTTGTTTTCGTTATATCTTACAATACTCAAGGTGAAATATAACGAGTGTGGAAAATTTGAAATACTCGATTTTGGTACGCATTACTCTGAACGTACACATAAATGAGATCTTGTTAGAGATACGTAACCCAAATCCTATACAATAGCTAGTATCCATAGCCTCACTAGTCACGAAAACTTTACGATATTTGATCGATGTGAAAGGGTTTGTCGCTTTATAGCAATATCAAAGGCTTTTTCAATTAGATGTGATATCTATTTCTTTATATTCCATCTTGTGTCTAGACTCTAGACAACTCGTTATATTATTATCAATTTTATTTTTAATCTGCTTTTATTAATTATTTTTAGGTTTTATAAAACCCAATTATTATTAATTAAGCAAAACCTAATATAAAATAGTAGCCAAGTGTTTATCGGGCCACGCACACTGCAGAGGTAGGGCTTCGTAGTTACCAGTTACAATACATGAACTTGGGCCTTCTTAATACTATTAACATATCGAGCTCGCTGTATGACCACTATAACGAATAAAAATGGGACCCAAATAGGACGATGGTATATGAAGGACTCGTTTTTCAAGCAGACTTATAGGGAGGGGTATTCAAAAAATGTTAAAAAGCTTTTCGATTTTGAAAATAATACAATCTACATCCCAACATTTCTTTTAAAAAGAATAAAAAAAACATGAACGTGCCAAGTCCGTACAAAAATGATGATAGTTCCCTATCTATCTATTAGTTCCCGGCAGTGCAACTTAAGAAATACATGACCGTAAAAAACCATCTCATAAGCCACTTCCCTAAACTATCCTGAGGATCGCCCGCGTAAACCAAGAGCACCACGAATGAAACTGTAAGTCTATAATAACTACTACCTAAAAAATAAACGAAAATGGTATGTCAGGATCGGTCTCTTGGTGATAAATCATCTCCACATACGCTGTAAGAGAAAACGTACAGCTTTTTTATTTTTTACAGTCTACTATAACATTACAAAGTTATAAGGCAGCTAGTTTTAGGTCATTTTCTATGGAATTGTAGCGAAATTTTTTCCATTTTATAAGTTGGTCGGCTAATACTCGTTAAATTTTTAGCCTACTAAGCTGTGATAGTTTTACGTCTAGCTTCATTATATATATACTACTATCGTGCATAATTTTAACATTTCCAAAAACAGCGCTTTAGTTGGTAGAATGGGAAGAGACACAATACTCTAATAAAAATACCACTTCAATGCTAAATATTTTGCTAATCGAAAAAATGTTGTTCCATCCATACATTCAATATTTTTGAATGACCTATCCAACACCACAAACGGTAGAAAAAACGGGTAAAAAAATAACTATATGGGAGGTACCCAAAAAAAAAAACTGTTTCTTAAGAAAATCACAAATTTGTAGGCGTGATTAATGTCTATAACTATGCCAAATTACAGCTTTATGGCACATAGGGTCTCTGAGTAAAAGGGTAGGTTTGCTGTGCGTCTGAGTGGGTCGCGGACGGACGGACGGACGGCGAAACCATTGAACCATATCTAAAATGTAGTAAACGGCCAACGGAGCTTTGTTCAGCATTAGAAAAAAATTATAATTTTCTCAGGGATCACACCTATCTAGATAAATTTATAAATTATAACATTATCCAAGTATAAAAAATTTCATCCAAAATGTTAGTCGTATCTCGGCCTTTGAGGTAGAGGATAATATAGGGCAGGAGCTGCCAACTTGATTGGACCCAAGATCTCTTGTTCACTAACGAGACCCTGTGCGATCTACCACTTCTAGAAATCTTAAATGAAACAGCATAGTTCAGTACACAATCATGTAGCATTTTTATTATTAAGAGAAAAAACATAAATGTGAAAATTATACTTAGTAACTACTTATTTACATATATATTAGTGTGAGTATTGCGTCTGAGTATCTTCCACTAGTTTAGCATAATCAGGTTTGTAGTTGAACATTGCCAACCTTAAAGAATCCAATGTATGAGCGTCTGTCAAGCGAGAACGGTGTTTACTTTTTGTTTGCTTTAAGTCGGAAAATGCTGATTAACATAAATATGTTGAACCAAAACACGAATGAAGTTGTTCAACACAATTCTTCAAATTTGGATATTTTTCTTTGGAAACCAATGCCCAGAAATCTTGACCTGAGGATGACCTTGCTTTAAGAAATATGTCGCAGCGCAGAGTAATAATTTCGTTTTGTAACATCATGTGCTCCATTTGAAATGTATCTGCAAATTTTGTAGCCAATTCATAGATATCACTATGATCAATGGAATCATTGAACGGATAACTGATGAATTGAACCAAGTTCTCAATTTTTCTGAAATCACCAAAACGAATTTCGAAGTCTGCTACCACTGCCCTAATTTCTGTCGTATATTTCTTGGAAATGAAATTGTAGTTAGGATGTTTTTCCATATGATCCTTGATGTTAACAAATTGTTCAATTTTTTTCTTCTCTATGTCAAATATCATAGACGCTGTTTGACATTGAAACGCTGCAATGGAACTACTCATTTCTGTTAATGTTTTATTCTTGCCTTGTAGATTCAGATTTAATGTACTCAGTTTTCCAGTAAAATCTGCCAAAAAAGCTAAATCACATTGCCAGTCTAAATCACGCAATTGCTGATAATCATCACCCCTTTCATCAAGAAATTTTATTATTTCTTCCAATAGATCTCGAAATCTTTGCAAAAACTTGCCTCGACTCAACCACCTCACATCAGTGTGCATTGCCAATTCTGGTTCCTTCTCATCTAATTGCTGTTTAAAGAGCCGCCTTTGGAGGGATTTTCCCTTTATGGAATTTACAATCTTAAAAGAAATATCCATCACATGTTTCGTGTTTAATCTCTTACTAGCCAGTACTTGTTGATGAATTATGCAGTGGTAGCTAATGAAGTCTGGAAAATCTTCGTCTTTGTGACAAAGAGCAATAAAACCATTATGAATACCTGTCATTGCAGGAGCTCCATCAGTTGTCATTGATACGAGTTTATATATGCATAGCTTAATCTGGCAAATATATGCTTTGAATTCCGTGAATATATCAAAGCCACGAGTTTTTCCTTTTAAGGAAATTATACCTAGCAGTTCTTCTTTGGTCGAGAAATCTTCGAAAACCATCCGAATAAACAAAAAGTAATTGTGCAGTATCAGTGACATCTGTTGACTCGTCAAACTGAAGCGAAAAAGCAACGCAGAGGGCGATATCTTTTTGTAGTTGTTCGTTTAAGTTTTTATTTATTATTTCTATACGGCGCATTACAGTATTTCGCGACAGCTGTAATCCATGAACAGCTTTTTTAATTTCGTTTTTATTTTGGAAATTCACGAACAGCGAATCTGACACTTCTTCGAAGATTTCTTTGATGTATTCTCCATCGGAAAAAGGTCTGCACTTTTGTGCAATTCTGTAGCTTACTTGGAAAGAAGCTTCAGTTGCAGCTTTACTTTGCTCAATAGGCCCAGAAAACATGTTTTCTTGGACTTTTAATTGCGATTTCAGTGCTTGCAATTTACTCTTTCTTATTTCGCTGTTAGGTGGAAAGTCAGTCTGATATTTACTATGCATTGTGTTAAAATGTCGCTCTAAATTTCGTTTTTTGGGCATTGCCAGGGATGTATTGCATATTAGGCAGCAACAGTTTTCTTTCACCATAGTAAAGAAGTAGTCCAATTCCCATTCTTGGTGAAAATTATAAGTTTTTGATTTCTTTGGAGCACATTTATCAAGAATCTGTAAAAAATGAAATTAAAATATTAGGAACATAATTTGTATAATAACAAATGTAGAAATACAATTTAATGAGAATAAATTTCGTAACGATGGCACAAAGTTAACGAGTGAACAATATTTTCTAGTTTTTTACCTACTTACCAGGTGGATAGTTCGTTTGATCCACCGAGTACCTATCTAAAATAATAAGGCACTGATTTAAAGAGGCAGTTGTAAATTCGTGATTCTTGTAGTATAGGAAAATTATTGAGAGGTCTGTTTGCAGTAATAACAATTTTAAAAATATTAACTTACTTTATTTGATGAACCTTCAGAAGCATTTCTTTCTTCATTTGATGTTCCTTCAGCGCTTCTTTTCAACCACTTATCCATAATGTACGTAAACAAATTATGATGCGTGCCTAATACAAAGTCTAATCGTGATTTACATCGACAATCGTTGAAACGACGTAACCCCGGTAGTCTCTGTCGTCAACTGTCAACTGATTGACTGAGACTCTCCCGTCCCACCCCCGCATCCCACACGCTTCCCGCTTAATGGTCATCGTACGCCGAAAACAAAAGACTATACTGCGTAAAATAGAGGATAAATACCGTGATGGAACAGCGATTACAAAATGATACAAGATGATGCGTCCAGCAGTAGGTGATTACGTTGGGCAGTCTGGTCTACGTATTTATATTTTTTGCCTTGCCACGATCGACTGGACTAACAGTGGCGATCGACCGGTCGATCGCGATCGACCGGTTGGCCACCCTTGATATAGGGTGTCGTACACCCCGCGCGACCGTTTACTTAGGTAACTCTTTAGGCGCGACCACCGAAATGCGGTGGCTCTTTAGGCGCGAGCGACCAATTAAAGGCAAATTTTTTAACCGAATGCGGTGAACTCTGAGAGGAGGGGTATATTTTTAATAATATGTATGTGTTGTATGCTAACAAATTCATTATATATATACACTTCTTTTTTTGTTTGTTTTTTTTTGTTTTTTTTTGTTTTTTTTTTTTATAAAACGTTAACCCCACACTAGGATTTTCTTCTGTGTCGTGGAGGCAGTTTACAAACATAAATTGCACAAGGACAAACATCCAGACCCGGAACAATTATTTGTAGGCCATACAAATACTTGTTCCGTGCGAGATTCAAACCCGCGGCCCCCAGCGCAACAACTGATTGCTAAGCCACTGCGCCACGGAGCCGTCAACTTCTATATCCACCTCTATTTATGATAATTTAACGGGTACGATAAAGTTCGTCAAGTCAAAACATACCAAAAGGAATTAAACAAAAAAAAAACAACAAAAATTGGCACTACCTTCCATAGATAACGTAGTAATTATTGTAGCTGTCACAACAATCCGCTTAAAAATATTGTTTTCAGTAAACTGTAAAATCAGTACAGTACAGAAAATATTTCACAATGAAAAATGAAAGCAAAGAAGAAACTAATTAAGTGAATGATGAAAAACTCGTTACAGTTTACTAAAATTAATCAAAGTGTATGTAACTTTGGTTTTTGTTTTCATAATAAGGCTTCAAGTCAGTTCTATTCTTCATAAAACTATATTACTTTAGAAGACTTTTGGCCTTGCTTATCACCGTCGTTATCACCAACTTTATAGATACAATCCACAAATAGACGTGAACTGTATTTACAGCTCATCAATATTTCGTAATCATCACTTCTATCTAACGAAGTCGAAGCGATCCTTTCGTACATTGCATAATATTCACTCTGTTGCCTCTTCAAAATATTTTAAGTTTACCACACTTAGTTTTTTTGCCACCATGTGTCAGAAGCCACGTGATTTCTTTGGCTTGTTGAACGAGGATGGATGAATACTCGTAACGGAAGGGAACTAATTAATGGATTCTCATATGACACTATCCAACGATAAAATATATGTCACCATTTCATAGTTTTGTCGTTAATTTGTAACTATAAGTTGTGATAATATCAAGTAGTATGAGCGACAATTGGCAGAGGTGGTTCGGCGTTTTATGTTTTTTTTTTGTATTCGCAGATTGTGAACCAATTTGGATGATTCTTGTTTTATTTTTTCTCATTATAACTTTTATATATAACTTCTTTTTTAGAAATTTGTATTTGGTTTTTAGATTTTGTTAAAGGTTATAATTATATAAGTAATATATAAATTGGGCAAAAATTGATATATGGGATAAATTATTGACCAATATTAATATATTTATAATATTATACATTTTATAAGTAGGTGTGAATTGGGGCTTCTGCGTCACTTGCTCTCGCATCGCTCGAGCTACATGCCGCTGAAGACCCCAATTCTCTCCAGTAGAGGTGCAAAATTTTTAGTTTAACCAAATTAACGTCTACATACTCACAGTTCTATAGGGAAAAATCCCGCAGGATAGAACTTGTGTGTACACTTGTGAACACTTGTGTGTACTTCCACTTCCAGTTGAGTTATTGAGCATTATATTCAAAGCGTTTGCGAGATACTGATGGTATTGTTAATTGCTATTGCAAGTTGTATTCTAATAATACAACTTGCTTAGCCTAATTTCATTGTGGTTAGTGCTAATTAACGTTTTTGAGCTTTTGTATAGCTTTTATCGAGAGCTTTGAGCGCGGCGACCGAATCAAGAAATTTCGTAACGAAAAAAAAAACCTAAGACCCAAAACCTTACATCCTAAATCCATTACAATAAAGATATTAATTAATTTGCATCCATCCGCTAACTAAATAAAATGATGTGTCTTACCTGGATTGAAGAGCGTCTCCCACCCTCCCTCAATTGTTTCATTATTGTTTTATTCTCCTAGCGAGTGCACGTTGATTAAAACTCTCGTCAAATATCATATATATTGGTGAGTTTAATATTTTTTTTTACTATTTACAAATTCAGCCGCCATTACCTTTTTTTTTGACTTCATACTTGTTTTTGTTAATTAAAGATCATGGTCAACACTGAGGAACACAATGATTCTAATCCTATCACTAATCCGTATTACTATGCACAGGATGTGGACAAATTTACACTAAATTTTTACAACCGAAAGGAGCAGCTTCACGATTTACCACCAAATAGAATAGCTATTAATGAAGAGCGGCAATCGAAATCAAACAAATGTTACAGGAATAGAAACCGCTCTCAAGAATCATCATCATCATCATCATACAATATCCGCCGAGATAAAGATAAACGAGGTCATCGTCTGATTAAAATCAGCATTAGCGAACTTAACTAGCAAGAAGAAAATGTCATCCACGATCTTAGTGCTAATATAAGTGTTCAATTGTTGTGGATTCAATGTATGATGAAGTGTTAGATACTACAAATTGTCTAATAAAAAAATAGGTAAAAAATTATGTGAGTACTAGTAATTTAAGTAATGTAGCTTGTAAAATATCATAAAAGATATACATTGAATTTTATTGTTGCTTTATTATGTATCATTATTATTCAATTGTGTAGAGGAAAAAAGAAAAGACATTTATTGTTACAACGAATGTATTTATTAAAACTAATTATTTCGATTTTCGATTTTATCTGAATTTCAATTTAAATGTTTTAGTTTTTATTTCAATTTTAACTGAAAGCAACAACACATAGACATATTTTATTGGAAATCAAACAATTATTTTGTTTTCAAAACACCATTTCTTAATATATAAAACATTTTACGCACATATTTTCTTACGAGTTTTTTCTCTTCAGGAGATAGTAAAGTGAATGGGTAAGGAGGTTTAATTAGGAATATATTAGTGTATTCTAGAGTGGCTATATCAAACTCTTTACTATAAATTTATTTTTGCTATTTTTGAAGCCATGAAGATCGACGATTATTGTATTGCTATTCATGATATTTTCTTAACGATATTACTCAGTGGTTTGTATTCGAATATACAGTCGTTTAATATCAAGCAATAAGCGACTGATATAGTTCAGATTTAGAATTTCTTTATTTTATTATTTTATTTACGGTTTATTATTTCGATTTTCGATTTTATCTAAATTTGAATTTAAATGTTTTTAGTTTTATTTCGATTTAAACTGAAAGCAAAAACACATAGATAAGTAACACTGATTAAACTATTAAACTCAGTTTATTATAATAAAATATAGTTCAGATTTAGAATTTCTTTATTTTATTATTTTATATTTGGTTTATTATTTCGATTTTCGATTTTATCTGAATTTGAATTTAAATGTTTTAGTTTTATTTCAATTTTAACTGAAAGCAACATCACATATATAAGTAACATTGATTAAACTATTAAACTAACCCTTAGTTGGATACAAAAGTGGACGAACGTTGTGATAATCTTCTTTGATGCATGATACCAACTGGGTAACAGAATTCCACGTTGGGGTTTTCTCACCGACCGCTGATTTAAAGCTGATCAGAGAGTGCCGCCAGCGGGTCGGTTGATGGAATAGCCTCCAGCTCGCGGAAGTTAGAGATGCGCACTTCGATGTAATATTCTCCTCACTTCGAAGGCTTGCTCCGGTGCATATATCTTGAACCTATTCGGAATGATAAGTAACTTTTTAAAATCCTCGCTCTGATAGGTTCAGAATCTTCATCCTGGAAACAATAAAAATACTATTTAAACAAAAGCATACTGATAAGCAATGAACAATATTTATATTCCCTCCTACCTACCTAAATATATTTTTATACGATGCTCATAACATGACTTAGTAGTCCAATTCACTAATAATTGTATCAATCACATCGATCGTCTAAGAATATAATTAAATACGTTTTCATAAAAAAATTTAACCTATAACTGATAATTTATTCACAAAATCCAATCAAATAGAAACTGACTTTTCTTCATGTGAATGGTAACTCAAAATATTAAAATTAAATAAGATTTGTTTACCTCAGAATCTGGAAAAACTTTTAATTTACGTTTCCTGCTGGTCGAAGCTGGGCTAAATGATGATGATTTATCAGCCTCAGATTCCGACTCGCTTCCTACACTAATTAGGGAGACTAAGTCGTACATACTTGCTGTCTTGATGATGATGATGCTGAACACTTCCAGGTCTAGTAGATTGTGGAAAACACGATGCAACTAATGGTTAAACACCACCCAACATTATATTTTATACCCTACATTATAGCGCTATCCCCACTTGGAAGTGTTTTAGTTTGATATATTATAAAATGAAGAAATATTTCATTTTGACCCGCATTAATGTTATTTTTAAGGAATATTTTTACTTATTAACATTAAATGCTCACATGTGAAAAACACTTAATATAAATGTTTGCATGCGATGTCAAATGAACATTGCATTGTCAGCCGAAAACACTATTGGCGCCGGCCAGACGCTGTAATAGGATATGACAGTGTTTTACAGGTAAACGTGTGAGTT